GCCATCTGCAATCCGACCCCACCACCAAAGACATCTTTCCCTCCCCACCCTTATCTGCTTTCTGGAGGGACCACTCTCTCCGTGACTCCCTTGTCCGTTCCACACTCCCCTTCAGCCCCACCACACCCGGCACTTTTCCCTGCAACAGCAGGAAGTGCTACATCTGCCCCCATACCTCCTCCCTCACCCCCATCCCAGGCCCCAAGAAGACTTTCCACATCAAGCAGATGTTCACCTGCACATCTGCCAATGTGGTATACTGCATCCGCTGTACCCGTTGTGGCCTCCTCTACATTGGGGAAAACAAGCGGAGGCTCGGGGACCGCTTTGCAGAACACCTACGCTCGGTTCGCAATAAACAACTGCACCTCCCAGTCGCGAACCATTTCAACTCCCCCTCCCATCCCTCAGATGACATGTCCATCCTGGGCCTCCTGCAGTGCCACAACGATGCCACCCAAAGGTTGCAGGAACAGCAACTCATATTCCGCTTGGGAACCCTGCAGCCCAATGGTATCAATGTGGATTTCACAAGCTTCAAAAATCTCCCCTCCCCCTACCGCATCCCAAAACCAGTCCAGCTCGTCCCTGCCTCCCTAACCTGTTCTTCCTCCCACCTACACTCACCTTTACTGGCTCCATCCCCGCCTCTTTGACCTGTTTGTTTCCTCTCCACCTATCCTCTCCTCTATCCCTCTTCTATCCGCCTCCCCCTCTCTCCCTATTTATTTCAAAACCCCCTTCCCCTCCCCCTTTTCTGATGAAGGGTCCAGGCCCGAAACGTCAGCCTCTCTGCTCCTATGATGCTGCTTGGCCTGCTGTGTTCATCCAGCCCTGCACCTTGTTGTCTCAAATGATCTTGTAGCACAGATTGAAATTGGTGGGTACGATGTTGTGGGTCTCACAGAGATGTGGCTGCAAGGAATCAGAGCTGGGAACTAAATATCCAAGGATACACGTCCTATGAAGAGGAGAAGTAGATGGGCAGAGGGGTGCGGTTGCCTTGTTAGTAAAAAATGAGATTAAATCGATAGCAAGAAGTGGTATAGAGCCAGAACGCGTAGAATCTGTGTGGGTACAGTTGAGGAACTGCAAAAGAAAAAGGGTCTTGATTGGGTTTACATAAAGGCCTCCTAGCAGTAGTTGGGCTGTGAGCAGAAAATAAATCAGGAGATAGAAAAAGCATGTAGAAAATGCATAATTACAATAATAATTACAATCTGGGTGACTATAGTATGCAGATGGACTGGAAAACTTACATTGGCAGTGGATCTCAAGAAAAGGAATTCGAGCAGCTTGTGGTACAGCCCACTAGGGAACAGGCAATTCTGAATTTGGTGATGTGTAACGAGTCAGACTTGATCAGGGATCTTAAGGTGAAGGAACCCCCAGGGGGCAGTGACCATAAATGATAGAATTCACCTTGCAGTTTGTGAGGGAGAAGCTGGAATCCAATGGAACAATATTACAATTGAGTGAAGGTAGCTGCAAAGACATGAGAGTGAGCTAGAGTTGATTGGAATGGGGGTGCAGCAGGGCAGACGGTGTAGCAGCAATGGCAGGAAGTTCGGCGGGGGTGGGAGGGGGGGAATGGATTTGAGACACACAACAGAAATTCGTCCCAAGGAAGAAGAAGCATACAGGGAGGAGTACAAGGCAACCATGTCTGACAAGGGAAGTTAGGGATAGCATAAAAGCAGAAGATAAAGCATGCAATGTAGTAAAAATGAGTGAGAAGCTTTTAAAAACCAGCAGAGGATGATTTTAAAAATGGAGAGGATAAAATATGAGGGTTAGCTAGCTGGTAATATGAAAAAAAGATTCCAAGAGTTTTTTTTAGATGCAATAACTGTAAGAACAAGGCAAGAGTGGTTATTGGATATCAGGAGAATGAAGCTGGAGAAGTAGTAGTAGGGAACAAAGAAATGGTGACAAACTGAACAGGATCTTTGCATCAGTCTTCATGGTGGAAGACACCAGTAGCATACCAGAACTTCAAGAGAGTCAGGGGGTAGAGGGCAGTGTCAGTGGCCATCACTAAGGAGAAGGTGCAAGACAAGCCAAAAGGTCTGAAGGTGGAATAATCATCCGGACCAGATGGAATATACCCCAGGGTTCTGAAGAAGATAGCTGAGGAGATTGTGGAGGCACTGCTGGTGATTTTTCACTAATGGCTGGAGTCAGGGAGGATCCCAAAGGACTAGAAAATGGCTAATGTAACACCCCTGTTGAAGAAGAGAGGGAGGCAGAAGACAGGAAATTGTAGACCAGTTAGCCAGTCTTTGGTTATGGGTAAGACTTAAGAGTCTATCATTAAGAATAAGATGCCAGAGTATTTGGAAGTGCATGGTAAAATAGGGTTGAGTCAGTAAGGCTTTGTCATGCCTGGCAAATCTGTTAGATTCTTTGAGGAGGTAACATGCAAGTTAAACAAAGGAGATCTAGTGGATGTGATCTATTCAGATTTCTAGCAGGCCTTTGACAAGGCGCTGCACAGGAGGTTGTTAAATAAGATAAGACACCATGGTTTTAGGGGCAAAGTACAGGCGTGGATAGAGGATTGGCTGATTGGCAGAAGGCAGACAGTGGGGATAAAAGGGTCTTTTTCAGGGTGGCAGGCAATGACTTGTGGAGTTCAGCAGAGGTCAGAGTTGGGACCACAACTATTCATGTTACGTATTAACAATCTGGATGAAGGAACTGAGGAACTGAGGGCATTGTTGCTAAGTTTGCAAATGACACTAAGTTAGGTGAAGGGACAGATAGTGTTGAGGAAGTGGGGAGGCTGCAGAAGAACTTGGGCCAGGAGAGTTGGCAAAAAAGTGTCAGATGTAATACAATGTGGGAAAGACTTTTCTCAGATCACTCTTGATTCTTTTGAAATGTGACTTTATATCTATGATGTCTCATTCTTGTCCCTTTCACAAGTTTTAAAGACTAATGTTTAGTCCTTGAATTTTCAATCTTTTGTTACAGTAAACGTTGAAAAATATGAAGTCTTGTGGTGTCATCCTTCAACTATGAACAGAAATTTTGAATTCCTTTTTAAAAGTCATTGGAATCCACAGAGATTGCAACATTACATAAATAATTTAAAAAGTGTACTTAACTTTTGATTCACAAATCATAGAATCATTGTGATTATACTGAGTTATGGCGATCTTGACTGTAAATAAATAAATTTACTGATGCTCCAACTCACGGTTAGTTGTTTTGTTGTAACTCCTGCATCAATAGCTGCCCTGTGCATTGCCCGTAGTGTGTCCAAATCTGGAGCTTCAATGAATACCACATAAGGCATGAACTCAGATGTCCTCAGAACCTTCAGTGCCTAAAAGACAAGGATATTGTTTTTCTCTTTCTGTACCATGGCCCTGATTTTAAGCACTGCTTCTATCCACATTCCTCATTGGGTATGGAAGGGAGGGTTAAAATTTTGGCAATGAGCAATCAGATCCTATTTCTTTCGGTTTCAAATTTTACAAATTTCATTCATGCGAGTGGAAGAGTGGCTGGGATCCTTCCTCCAAAAGCAGTCAGCCAGAGTACGAGCAGATCATTGATTTCAGCAGTGCCGCCACCTACAGTGGCCACCATTGTAACTGCAGCTCTCACAAATGGGCATGGGTCTTTCCACAAGGTGAGTAGGGTCAGGCATCACTGAGGCCAGTCAGGCAGACCTCAGTGAGGAGCCATGGGCAGTTGGTAAGGGCAGGCAGGGACAAAGGTATGTTTTCATTGGGGCCACTGGTTGTTTGATTAGGAGGAAGCCCCTGAGAAACACCTCTGCCACCCCCTTCACACTACGGCCAGTAAGGAGGCCACCAGGGTTTATGAGGCAGCTTCTGAAGATTGGTGGAGGGCCCACTAGCCATTTGTAAAGTAGCAGAAGAGATAAGAAGAGGATTTAAATAATCATTCAGGTCTTAATGTCTGGGCATGGAAGCTGACTTCCATCATCCCCACTGCTGATTCCATGGCATTGTGGTGGCTTCGCTCATTGCCCTGGCCACCACTCCCAATTCTCTCCTCACCATTTTATGATGCTGCAAACCCACCCTGAACAGCCTTCCCCTGTAAGTTGGGTAAAATTCAGCTCATAGTTTGATACTGGTTAATGAATTAGCAGTGTGCCAACATCTCACAATAAGAAATCAATATGCATTTTCAGATTAACAGATAATGATGAAGCTGCCCGTGAAACTGTAGAGACGTCAGCACACAATATGATAAATATGCTGTGGAGACTATTTTTTGTCGCTATAGCGCAGCTTAGTCCCTTCATGCGCAACTAACTTAATGATTGTTTACTGCAATGACCGACCTGGAAGTAAAAATCAATTTGTTTTTACACTGACAGTTTCAAAACTTCATTGAACTGCTAACACTTGAGCCAAATAATTTCAGATTAAAAACTTAGATTCAAAATAAATTGTATAGTTTAAAGGATAAAAAGACTCAATTCTTACAAGTGAGCTTTACAATGCTATGATAAGTATCCACAACATGATTTTTTTAGATTTTATATTAAAGGCCACGATGCATTTATTATTTATTGTAACTTTTTAATGGGCATTTCAGGCAAACAGCCTGAAGACCAATTCTACAGTAAATAGATTTTCAAATTGATAATATCAACAAAATTATGTTGCAATAATGCAAATATCCAAGCCTTCCAGTACCTGTGGGTTTGCATCCAAGATGCATATTTTTCCACATTCAACTACCTCATGGATGGAATCGATCTTTGTCCCATAAAGGTTTCCTTCATATTCACCATGCTCCAGGTACCGCCCACCTTTGATGTCATTTTCCATTTCAGAACGGGACACAAAAGCGTAAATATGACCATCATTCTCATCCTCCTTTGGCTTTCGTGAGGTGACTATATTGAAGGGATACAACAAGAAACTTCAATCACTTCACTGAGAAAGATCAGACTTCAAATTAAGAAACCAAAGTTCCATTCCAAGACTTGGTGATACATCACAATTCCTTCAGAGTCGCTGGGTAAGAAGCCTTGAACTCCTTCCCTAACGGCATTGTGGGTCTACCTACAGGACATGCAGCAGGTCAAGAAGGCAATTCACTGCTGCCTTCTCAAGGACGAGGAGTGATGGGTAATAAACACTGGTCCAGCCAGCAGTGCTCACATCCCATGAAAGAAGTTTTAAAAAGTACACGAGTGGTCTCTCAACAGCTGTCAAGAGAAAAATTATGCTAATAATTTGCAGAAAGACTCTTCAGCAGAACTGGAAACTGAATTATCAATCAACACATTAGCAGGACTTAGAGAGAAAAAATAGGTGGAAATCTTAATCCAAAGGGCAAGGAGGGGGAATATTTCTAAACCTGGAAGCCAGCCAGCTCCTGCTATGGCCCAACCAGTCTTCTCATCACATCTTAAATGCACAAAACACTAGCATTAGCCCAACAGGTGAACAAAAAAAAAAGAACTATGGCTGCCAGAAATCAGAAACAAAAACAAAAATTGCTAGAAAATCTCAGCATGTCTGGCAGCCTCTGTGGAGTGAAATCAGAGTTACATCCCTGGTGTTGTATTCATTCTCAGAGGCTTCATGCAGAAAGTGGATCCTCTTTCCCAACAATTTCCAGTACAAAGACCTCCAGTACTTTGTGCAAGTATCAGGGGGGCGTTTCCTCTTCTCTCACATTTTGGGCACTTCTGCTTACACTTAATTCCTGCACAGTGAGCTAGTGGCAGCTTTCCCACAGTTAGTGCCATTCCATTTTAAGAAGAACAATCTGCTTTTAAAAAGTGCAGGTTATCTAGATTCCAGGCTAAACCAGCATGCTGCTGGGGCCCCTGTTAAGTTTGCAGCCAGCTAGCAGCACAGGGTACTCTCACCTGAAACCATGGTAATGAGGAATTGGCATCAGCTTAATATGCTGCCTACCTCCACTGCACTGGGTGCTGGCTGAATGCAAATTGCAAACAAGTGCCAGAAAATATAATTAAACCAGTTATCAGCCCTATATCTCCAAACAGCAGGACTTGTGAAACTGTGTCGTTTAGGTGTGACTGGCATTGAGATAGGAATAGATCAATTCTACAAAGAATCCTAACTGATAAAATTTTGATACTGGAAGAGTTGCCACATAATTTCAACGTCACAAAGGTAAAACATCAAAAATACAATGCCTTATGCCAGTGCTAGCTTTACATTGGGGGCGGCACGGTGGCTCAGTGGTTAGCACTGCTGCCTAACAGCGCCAGGGTTTGATTCCACCCTCAGGCAACTGTCTGTGTGGAGTTTCCACATTCTCCCCGTGTCTGCGTGGGTTTCGTCCGGGTGTTCTGGTTTCCTCCCACAGTCCAAAGATGTGCAGGCTAGGTGGATTGGCCATGCTAAATTGCCCATAGTGTTCGGGGATTGTGTAGATTAGGTGGGTTCTAGGGGGATGGGTCTGGGTCGGATGGTCTGAGGGTCAGTGTGGACTTGTTGGGAAGGGCCTGTTTCCACACTGTAGGGATTCTATGATCATACACACACTACCCTCAGATCAGCTGTGCTTTCTGAAAGAGTGTGAAGTATTAGGAAAACTTCCTCTGTTATCATTTTCTATCTTCCAAGGTAGAAAGCATGATGGTTGAATATTGAGACTTTGTATTATATAATGGAAGACCTAGGAGCTGAAGCTGTCAGGGAAGTATAACCAACAGTGACCTTTTATTTTCTGGTAGAAATATTATGTTCAAAAAAACACAAAACTAAGAAGTACAATATACGTTGGGAAATGGATGAACTGTTTAATTAATGATTGTACAACAAGGCAACTTTATCATAAATGGCCCATTCGTTGTTCTGGAACATGGATTTGGTCTACCTTTCCAAAGGATTGAGCTTCCAAATTTGATTGTTTCTTCACTCAGGTGGAACTTCTCACATTTCACATCCTGGCCAGCCCATTTTCCATCTCACTCTTGGCCATATTGGCTCAATCATCAAATAGTTAAATTACCATAAAGGTCATCATCAGACAACTAGCAATTAGAGTTAACGTGCACAAAATGTCTGAATCTACTCACAAGGAATTGTCGTTCCAAAACGCATTGGGTCAGACATTATGAGTCTGTTTTTTAAGCTTCGTCTCCCAACACCCTGTGCTCCTATAAGGACCAGGGTTTTCCTTTGAAATGGTGGCATCTTTGCTACTTCCTCATAGATTAGAAGTTCATGACGATCAAATTCTAGAAAGTAAACAGAACAGTACATCTGAATATACACTGATTGATGGTTGGCTGTTACAATGAATGCAGATGAAGTGCTCTCTCAGTCTTCACAACTACAGCTTCTGCCCAATCTCCCACCAGGAGATCTTTTAGCAACACCAGAGAATTAGTGCAGTTGAAGCACAGTTTTAAACAATGGGAAAAGGAACCTTCTCTGAACTCCTTTATAGGAATAGAGTTAAAAGCTATGGGTAAATTACCAGGAATGTTCTTACATAATTTTTGGTGTCTGGTTATCCAGAGTGTTTGTCAGATATCTGGGAATTACAAGGCTCCCCACATTCTCAGATGGGCAATGATGTTTACTCCAGAGGGGGCATACAGAAACTAAAAGTGACAGAAAGAAATAAAAGAGTATATATACTGTAAGAGATAAAAATAGGCTGAAAGATTTGTGAGAGCAATCCATGACTTGGAAAGTTTGAAACAATTTCGGAATTCAGAGGTCCAAAAAAATGGCTCAATATAAAATCAATACCATTTCCTTTCAATAGTCAGGTCTTGTAGAAATCTGAAAAATACCTCAGGTGTTATCCCATGTGCTCTGAGCAGATAAAAGTTTTGACAGAATTAACTTGTTGCTTAAGACAAAAGTAGTTAAATAACTTTTTTTTAAAACAGGTGTTGCTATTCAGGTATTATTGCATTTATTAATATATGGAACATCAGCCTTATGCTAAATTGCATTTTTCATATCTTTGACTCATTATTTCAATCAGGTGCTCGCAGTTCTGGGTTAGTTTCATATGCAGACAGGTTTAATCCAAGAATGAGTCTTCATCTAAAACACATGCTTTTGCAGTCTGATATTTAAAAAATGGATTTCTTATACCAACCATTTGCACAGTAAAACCGAGAACAAACATCTTTAAGTGGTTTATTATTGAGCTATTATCTCAATGAAGAAACTAATCTTTTGAAACAACAGTGTTGAAGTAGTGCACAAAAACCCTTCACACCAAAATATCAATTGCACTAATATCTTCTTTACCAGTGTTTACATTCTAATGACATTTTATGCAAAGCTGTGAGATCTCTCAAAGAGATGCAGGGAGATGGTATTGGGGAGATACAGAATGTGAGATATTTGGCAGCACCTCAGACAAGACCACAGACTCAAAGAAGAATGCAGCAATAGCCGCTTATGGGTCTGAAAGGATCTGCAAGATTTAAGACCTGGTTAGGTGTAGTAACAGCGGTACATTAAGATGTTGTACGGAGTTTTGTTCAGAGTAATGAAGGAGCCTGTAGGAGACAATCTGAGGTCACTGTGTTGCTAACAGTCTCTGTAGTAATGTAGATCATATTCATGTAATCTGCAAATGGTTGCAATAATGCAATAAATTTTCTGTTTTTTACTCAACAACGTTTCTAGTTAAATCAGAAAGATGGCTGTCCTCAGCTACGCTGGATCACTTTGGGCTTGAAGGAGTCTGTGCACACAACATAGTGACAATGGTGGGATGACTAGAGAAGGCCCTGCCAAAAAGTAGCAGGGACTAATATTGTTTCTAAATGGTGCTAGCTAACAGAAATTTGAGTTCAGACCTGCAAGAAGAAGAAATAAAGGGAAAAAGGCATGCTGGCGACCAGAGAACATCAAGTCAAATTGGTTCTACTGATTGCCAATGACAGTAAAACTTGCGGTAATACTCAAGACGATAGAATATTTCAGTGAACGACACAGTAAGCATTTCAAATCTGCAATTCCAGGGCAAAGGGAGACGCCATATATAAAGGTGGTGGTCTGCAGAAATGATTCCAAGTCCAAGAAGAGGCATTGAACTGATCAGAAATCAGGGATTTTGTCAGTTAAAGCCAAACATTTCTCATTTACAAGGAGAAACCTTAAAATGCACAATAATTCAGGCTGTAAGGGGAGAAACTTGAAACAGCAGTTGTTGTACTGATCAGGTGCCACTGCCATAACCCGTAGACACCCCGAGGCAGGGCTGTAAAGATAAACCTAAGAATACTATGAGAGAAAACTTGTATGGCATGGGAACAATGGGCCAAGTGCTAACAAAGACAGACAAAGCAGACAGACATTGGAAGTTTGAAGACATGTGCAATACTGGCCCAACAAAATTTTCTTCAGGAAACAAGGAGTCAGAGGGAGGCTCCAAAGCATGGGGAAACCTCCATCACAATGCAAGGGTACAGAAAAACCTTTCAGTCTAGTGGCAATGTGCAGAAGAATCACCATTACTGAAGATTAATAATCTCTAAAGAAAGTAAAATGCCTTATCTTAAGAAGCTATGGGCATAGAAATAATATGGTCAGAAAGATTTAATTTAAGAACTGGGTCAAACAGATATAAAATTGGAGAAAACAATTCTTACAATAGTGAATAGCTCTGAAACCCATAGTTTTATTGAAGTCAAACAAGTAATTACACTTCTACATGAGACTGGGAATATAGTTGATGATATCTTTACTCACCAAAGGATAAGTGAAACATCAGACAAATTTGAAGAAGCATTGAAAGCCTTTGACAATTATTTGAAAATTATCAGTGAAATTAAATCAAGAGCAAGAAGTGATATAGATTTGAAAGGCAAGAAATCTGCGTGCCTGGAGTTGAGGAGCCACAAAAGGGAAAAAAGACCCTGATGGGAGTACATACCCCCTGGCAGTAATCATGACGTGGGGAATAAAATAAATCAGGAGATAGAAAAGACATGTGAGAAAGGCACTTTTATAAAAATCATGGGGATCTTTAGTATGGAGGTGGACTGGGAGCATCAGGTTGGTAGTAGATTCTAAGAAAAGCAATTTGTGGAGTTTTTGTGGGATGGTTTTATTTGGGACAGTTTGTGGTAGAGCCAATTATGGAATAAGAAATTCTGAGTTTGGTGATGTGTAATGAGGCAGACATGGTTAGGGATCTTAAGGTGAAGGAGCCCTTAGGGGTCAGTGACTATAATATGATAGTATTAACCCTGTAGTTGGAGAGGGAGAAGTTGGAATCAGACAGAGCAGTTTTGTAAAGGTAACTACAAAGTCATGAGGGAGGAGCCAGCCAGAGTTGATTGCAAGAGGAGTCTAGCAGGGCAGACAGTGGAGCAGCGATGAGTGGGGTTTCTGAGGGTAATTTGGGAGGCACAGCAGAAATTCATCCTAACGAAGAAGAAACATGCGAAGGGAAGGACGAGGCAATCATGGCTGACAAGGGAAGTCAGGGACAGCAGAAAGGCAAAAAAAAAAGCGTACATTGCAATGAAGATTAGTAGGAAGCCACAGGTTGGGAAGCCTTCAAAATTCAGAATGAGACAACTAAAGAAGTAAAAAGACAGGAAGATGAAATATGAGGATAAGCTACCCAGTAATATCAAAAAAGATATCAAGAGTTTTAATTAGGTATAAAAAGGGTAAGAGAGAGGCAAGAGTGGACATTAGAATGCTGGAAAATGAAGCTGCAGAAGTAGTAATAGGGAACAAAAAAATGGTAGAGGAATTGAATAGGTACTTTGCACCATTCTTCATGGTGGAAGACACCAATAGCATACCAGAACTTCAAGAGAGTCAAGGGGCAGAGGTGAGTGCAGTGGCCGTCACTAAGGAGAAGGTGCTGGGGAAGTTGAAAGGTGGTGATCTTTCAGGAATCACTAGAGTCAGGGAGAGTCCCAAATGATTGTAAAATGGCTAATGTAACACGCCGGTTTGAGAAGGGAGGGAGTCAGAAGACAGGAAACAAAAGGCTGGTTAGCTTGACCTTAGGATTTTAGAGTCCATTATTAGGAATGATCTTGTGGAGTACTTGGAAGTGCACTGAGATAGGGCTGGGTCAACATAGCTTTGCCAAGGGGACGTCATGCCTGACAAATCTGTTAAATTTCTTTGAGGAGTTAACAAGCAAGTTAGACAAAGAAGAGCCAGTAGATATGAGATAGTAGGAACTGCAGGTGCTGGAAAATCTGAGATAACAAGGTGTAGAGCTGGATGAACACAGCAGGCCAAGCAGCATCAAAGGACCAGGAAGGCTGATGTTTCGGGCCTAGACCCTTCTTCAGAAAAAGAAGGGTCTAGACCCGAAACGTCAGCCTTCCTGCTCCTCTGATGCTGCTTGGCCAGTAGATATGATATATTTGGATTTCCAGAAGGCCTTTGACAAGTCCCACACAGGAGTCTGCTAAAGAAGATAAGACCCTGTGGTGTGAGAGGCAAGGTACTGGTGTGAACAGGTAGAGAGTGGTAGGGATTTGGTGAGTGGGATGGGTGGGGCAGATAGGTGGGAGAGAAGATGGACAAGTTGTGTCAGGTCAAGGAGGCAGGAGGGAGGATGGGTGGGGCTGGGAAAAGGTAGAAGGGGTGGTGATAGATTGGATGTAGGTAGGGAGTAGTGGGGATTGGTCTATGGGAATGGTAGGGCGGGTAGGTGGGGAAGAAGATGGACAGGTTGTGTCAGGTCAAGGAAGTGGGGATGAGAGGGATGTTTGGACATGGGATGAGGCCGGAGGTGGGGAAATTTTAAAACCGGTGAATTCCATGTTTAGGCCATCGGGCTGTAGGCTCACGAGGTGGAAAATGAGGTTTTGTTCCTCCAGTTTGCAGGTGGTGTCATTGTGGTATTGGAGGAGGCCCAAGATTGACATGTCACCCAGGGAGTGGGAGGGGGAGTTAAAATAGTTGGTGACTGGAAGGTGTTGTCATTTGTCGCAAACAGAGTGCAGATGCTCCACGAAATGGTCTCTGAGTCTGTGCTTGATTTCACCGATGTAGAGAAGGCTACATCAGGAGCGACGGATACAGTAGACCAAGTTGGTGGATGTACAAGTGAACCCCTGTTGGATATGAAAGATTTGCTTTGGTTCCTTGGATGGAGGTGAGAGAGGAGGTGTAGGGGCAGGGTGTAGCACTTCCTGCAGTTGCAGGGAAAGGTGCCGGGGGTGGTGGGGTTAGTGGGGAGTGTGGAGTGGACGAGGGAGTCATGGAGTGAGCCGTCCCAATCAAAGGC